TACGTCTACCTCGTTCTAGCGAGTCCCGGGAGGTTCACCTCGTGATTGCCAACCACCAGCTGGTTTTGGCTCCTCTCCCAAAGGAAAAAGGAAAAGATCCTGCACAGCGATCCGCACCTCCATCGCTGCTTCATACTACCAGGTAGTATCTGATCCAAAAGCGTTGTTCCGAAGCCCTTTGCTCTTGGTTTCCTCCCTTCCATTGTTGTTGTTGTTGCTGCTGCTGCTGCTGCTGTTCAAATCGATCCGATTGAATTCGAATCGAATCATATCCGCTATGTCCGACCTCGATACTTGCCGAAACGAAATCCAGCAGGAAATAAACCTGTACTGGTCCTTCGTCTACATTTCCCTCACATTGACTGTGGTCAATGTCATCTTTCGTAACATTCTTCGCAATGGATCTAACCCAGAAGAGAACTACGGCAAGGCGGTCAAGCTCTTTGTCGTCACGGGAATTATCAAGTGCATCTTTGGAATTCTGCTCATCACGGTCCTTCTCCCTACATGTCCTGCCGGTTGTACATGCGGCCACATTGGCCATCCGACATACGGATATGTTGCCTTGGCGCTGGGTTTTCTCTGGCTCTATTACGCACACGTTTACTACAAAAAGTTGCAAGAGGCGGGCGTGCAATACGGGGAAGTGGCCATGAGCAAGCCGGAAATTTCGATGACCTCTCCTGTTGTTTGAGCTTCCCTTTGGGGGTAAGAACTTGAACCAAGGCGAACGAGAAAGGACCAGCAAGCAAAATGTGAAAGTAGCACCCATGCCAACCAAGGAATGCGAAAGAAAAGCCAATTCCAAACAAATTATGAACGGCAGCGGATCCAGGTGATCATCATCTTCTACATGTAATTCAGTCTAGTGCTAGTCCGACAAAAAGTGTAGATTATCGCAGTTTCGTTCTAGCAAGGCGAGCTGTCCCTGACACTTCTTGAGGGTGGTGACAACCGCATTTCTGCCAAGTGGGACCGACAGTGATATGGACGAGGACCAGAATGAACCGAACAAGGACTTTTGGTTCTAAAAGAGGGTTGCTCAGCTTGAACAACCGTGACAAAGTTGCCTTTCTTGCCACCGATGGAACCCCAGCACAACCGCACAAGAGGCCGAAGCTTATAGGAGCCTGCTTCGGCACACGGTACGCAAGCACAGGTGGAGTGGCTACTAGTATGCAGCCACTGCAACTACCCCGAGGCTAGCTAGAAATGTAGACCTGCAGGCCCACTGGTGCTTCTTCTTGGTCCGACTCGTCTGTGATACCTCCCCGAAATGGCAGTACAAAGCATCGTAGCAATTGGTGCAAATGGACCCACAGCTATAAGAAAGATGGAATTCAACATCATGCATGCATAGCCTCCACGGTCAGCATATTTTTTTTTGTGGAATGAATGAGGCCTGAGCTGGTGGGCGATCGGCCTCAAAACGAGGAGATTGCTGTAGTCGCGCCATTTTGATGTGGTCCACTGTCTAGCTAGCCCTGTTGTTCCGTGGCGCTTCCTGTTTCCTTGAAGGTATGTGGCTATTCAATAAGTAGCCAGCTACTAGCTAGCTAATACAGTCAAGTCAAGCTACCCTTGTGCTTGATGCGAAGGTCGTCGGGGCCGTCGCTACAGCAGCTAATGGTTAGCAAGCTGAAGGAGGATCACCAAAACAAACACTTTACTTGTTATTAATACATTGTCATGCATCAGGATTACGCTGCTAAATCGTACCGCGCCGTAGCTAGTTCGTTCATGGGGATCAGCTGCGATTTCACTGCCCCTTCTTTAACCTTGATTCTTAGACCAGGGTCACATCTGCATTTGACTCCTCCAAGCTCATTGCCTTCCAGCCTCTTCCAGCCAGAAACCCTCCATCCAACTAATTGTACAACCTTCAAGCATTCAGCAGGGAAAGACTGATGCTCCTTCTCACTCGCGATAGCCGCTCTTCAGTGCGCCTCATGAATCAGGCAGCCGGTGCCAGATTGGGAGCATGAAGGATGATGGCATTCAGGAGGAAATTGGACTTCTGCTGGTCCATGATCGATCCAACGTACCTGTCCCCGTAGCGACTGGGGACAACGGTGAGCGCAAAGCGTATCAATCCATCAAAGTGGGCTCTTGACTCGTCATAGCTCGATAGTTCGTAGCTGACCTGTGCCAAGTTGTTTGACACGGCCATGGACAAGAGATCCACAACGGCGTTGCCGGTTGAACCGTACGATACGCCAGCATCATTCAGCAGAAGATGCGCCTTGACGTAGAGGGAACGGGCCTTGTGCAAGCGAGACTCGTTCAATGCCTTCTCGTGAAGACCCTTGAGGTGGTAGACGACGGCCAAGTTGAATATGATAATGGTACTGATCACGGTAGTGTTGATGAGAGGATCAGGAGAGTAAGACCCTGGAGTGCCAACGATGCCAAATCCCTGACAGTGGACAAAGGGAGTCCCAGGACTGTTGAACTCGGGTTTGGTATCTCTTGGATGCTGCCTATTATCGTTGTTGGCGGGCCCCTGCCCGGCAGCCTGATGTTGCTGCTCTTGAGGAGGCATAGGCGGGGGTACTAACGGCGGGGCCCCGGCGGGACGCAGCTCTCCCATTGTGGTGCGTAGGGCAGTGCGAAAGAGTTCCAACGCTCTTCGCAGGTCGCCCCTTTCCAGATACGCCACGGCAACATTGTTCAAATCCGCAGCCGCCTGATCCATGATGCTCTCTGCTTTGGTTCTTGGTTGCTAACCGCGTACTAGTATGGGTAAAGGTGGGTATTCTTTCTCAAGTCGGTCGAAGGAAATCTATAGATGCGACGCAGCTGGCAGTGAATTTTATTCTGCTTTTGTCTGCTGGCAAAGCCTCTCAGTGCGAAGTATTATCAAAACAAGAAGTTGTCGAGATGCTGTGATGTTGAGCAACTGGATACCGGTACCCGGCGCTATTACCGGTGGATCTGGGATGATGAGTGATGAGTGTGAGCGATTGTGCAAGTGCTCGGATACTGCAAGTACGGTACCAGCGTTCTCTGCTTGCAATCGACTACTACAGCACTACAGCTCTACTACTCAAGAAATAGAGATTGGAGGACCAACAGAACTCTTTTCAACTTCGTAATTAATTATTGCCTCGTTTTTGCAGCTCACTAGCCAGCTAGCTTACCGTACATACCTTATCCAGGTAATACTGCCACTGGATGGAGTACCGTAGCTACGTGTAGGGAGAGTACCGGTATACCGCCCACACTCCAGCTGTACTGTGAAGCATTGCTTCAATGGCGAAACTCAACTTGAAAGAATGATGGCAACGCAGACAGCCAATCAAAAATAAAAGCAGGTTGAATACTTCCAGCTATTCTAAATAAAGGTCAATGACGTACTCGGGCTGTTTTCCCACGCATGCTTCTCGAATTGCTTCCCCTGACCTTGGAGCACCTAATGAATACTTCTCGTACCTCTTCGGATAACGCAGTGTATGGTTTATGCAAGTGTATGGGAGGCAAGAAATATTCTGGTTGAAAAAGTACTAGATTTTATAGAATGAAGAGGCTAGATTCAACGTTGTATTTCCTGCATATCAATGGACAAAGGCAACAGATCACCTACCGCAATCGAAAAGTAAACAAGACTTAGTAAACTCCATGGCCACAGCAACTCCACGACCTCCTAAGCCGTGCTTTGTTGGATTTCTGTCGCAGCTTCTTCTTCCATGCCGCTTGCAAGCTCAACTTGCATACAAATCCTGAGTGTGGCGCTGTGCGGAACAACGGAGATGGCTGACGCTGTCCAACCGTTGCAGAAAGTCTCCGAGTGGTGCAAAAACCGTTTCATTTTGACACCATTGTTCCCTACTGTTCCACACAGTGATCCAAAAACTCAGGAAGCAGAAGTTGATGTCACGCTCTGCGCACATCGAGAATGGGGTAAAACATGATTGAAACAACGGATTACCCAACCCTTTAGGATTGACGTCATTTGAGAAGCTTCTGACGCTGTCGCATGACGTAAACGAGAAGCTATGACGACAAGGATTAGAGAACAATTCTTGTAAAGGGGGAGGGGTACCGGCACGAAGTAAAGAATGTGGCCACGTGCCAAATGCCGAATCAATTCGACTCAAATAAATCGCGTGATTAGACTAATCATTCGATTCGATTCGATTCGATTCATCAGATTCCTCAGTCTTTCAGGATCCAGTTTCAGTCCCTAAATATTCAAGACTCAAGACTCCAAACAACAACAGCAAATCCACGCCACCATGACCAAGGAGCGGCGACGAGCATTTTCGTTTTGTGTGAAGTATAAGGATTACCATGGACGGAGACGAAGACGCACGCCATCGGCGAGAAGAAGCTGAACGTCGTGCAAAGCGAAAGGTAGGCATTATTTGTGATGAATCTGGGTACCGGTAGGTTTGTTTTCACTGACTTGAGTTGCACTGCTCGTTTTGCCTGCAGGCTGCCAAAGCAGGGTCTCGGTCTGATGCCCAGCGAGCTAAACGAAAGGAGCATGCAGCGCGCGTTCTTGCCAGGCACCAAAAAGGTGGTCCATCTCCTCCTTCCAAACGACACAAGGGTGACAAAGGCAAACCACCGCCTCCACCATTGCCTCCTGGAGGCACCCCGTCTCATTTTCAGAATTTATTCACACAACGCGCCCAAGGGTTTCAGATTGACTTTCGCTTTCGAAATGCTCCTCCCAGGCCACCAGTGGGTCCGTCCTTTGTGGGTCACTCCCTAGATGGAGTGTTGGTGGAAAGAAGTCGTCAGTACAAAGCGTTGAATGCCGTAGAAGTCAATTACCAATGGAAACTGCACAGTGAACCTGATCTGGGTGTACCGTTGGCTCCATCTGCCATGGATGTGAAATCCTACAAAGCACCAGCGAAACATGACCAAGGTGAAGAAAGCAAACCCAAACCAAAATTACATCCAGACGACGAAGCCCTCTTGGAGTGGAAGGGACCCTTGGGAGATACAGCTGCTGAAAATCTCAAGAAGAGACAAGATCAAATGCGTGCTGCTGCTCGATTGGCCCTTTCAGAAGGAAAGGGTCGTATCCCCAATATTTTGTTGCCAGCCAATGTGGACAGACTCACCAGCCCTGCGGCAGCTGCTGCATCAGTGTCCTCCAAGAAGGCATTCTCTCGTGTGCTGGATGAAGGTATGCAGACTTGGATGAAAAAGACAACCTACCTCAGTAATGACTACAGTCGAAAGGTACACGACTTCAAGTCTTTGGCAACTACCAAGCAGCAGTTGGAAAAGGATCTAGAAACCAAACAACAACAGATGAATATGAAACGTTTAGCCCCAGCCATCAAGAATACTTTCACCGCAGCAACGATGCCTCCAACCCATCCAACCAAGAAGAACATGAAACCCAAAGCGATCATGTCAATCTTGCCCAACGTAGACCATTGGGGATTTTCCTATACCCATGTTGTCATTGACAAGGCACCCAAGATTGATATGGTCAAATCGGATCTTGCAAAGGCTTTCGTTGCCAACGTACAACAGACAGATAGCAAAATGACATGTCAACTCTGGTGTCCACCTCCACCCAAGGGTGATTCCGATTCTGAGGATGAGGATGACGAAAAATTGGAAGATGAAAAGGATAAGGATCCACCAGGCACAGTCCGATATCACCCTATCCAGGAATATGACTTGGATGTGGTGCCACTCAAGGACGGTGATCAACCCCACGTGAACTTTTGCCTGTGGGTTGACCCGAAGAACAAGGTGGCCACCTATCTTCCTCTCAGTTCCCGTGTGCAGCTGTCTACTGGCCGGCCTGTTAAGGGTCGTACATTGCGACGTGTGTCCCGTCGCCCCAAGGGAGAAGCCGACATGGAGGAAATCAATGATCGAAGTGCGGAAGTTGACTATGATGTGGCACAGAAGATTGGTCGACCAGCACCCACTAAACCGGCCCCCGTTGCAAATTCCAATTCCAAGGATGATGGAGACGATGGTGAAGATTTTGGCGATGACAGTGATGACAGTGATGATGATGCCAACAAGAAAACCACACCGGCAGCGGCAGCCAACAATGATGATGACGATGATTCAGATGATGAAGAAGAAACATTTGGGGGTTTGAAAACAATTGTGGCCGAGAACTAAACGTTGTTAAAGCATGTTGTAGCATTCTAATGTTCTACTTACTTGTAGACTGCTGTTGTGTTGTGGGCTGCCGAGTGCTGTGCTCCTCCTTTTGTGTAAGCACGTGACAGCGCAGAGTCAGCAACGTTGACTACCTTCTTTCATCGGCTCACCAACTGTTTCGCTTGAACACTAACGACGTCATCTCAAAGTTCTATATACGTGCTTTCATTGCCCATCAATCTTTGGCAGACGCTTGAATTTTCCTCGCTCGTCCATGAGTTTTGCATACACCTTGCCAGTCTCAAGAATGTTCCAAATTCCTTCCGGGGAAATCACCTTTACAAAATCAAAAAACTCCCCCTCTGCCAATGCTGGGTCTCTGTTCCAGTCGAGTCTCAGAATGGATGATGGCCTTCGATGTTCCGGGAGATAATCAGGCGCCTTGGCCAGAAAGCTCCCATCAATGTGGGGCTGGTTGCAGTAGTTTGCAGTGAGCTTTCCATCCAAGAACCATGGCTGGAGAGGAAATATTAGGCAGACAGTGAGAGTGAGCCAGCCAACACCAGCAAACGTAAATTACTAGTCGCTGCAATGGAAATGAGCATGAGTGAGGGCCTTACCAAATGAACGCTAGTCATGCAGCACTTGATAAGTTCTTTTCGGTTTTTCCAGCTTGACACCCGCGTCTTGCCAAATGATGGAATGGGAGTGACCAGAAGAGAAAGCTTGCCATCGCTGGCCATCTCGACGGCATTTTCGGGGAGCAGGTCATCCAACCACTCGTATATGAGATCTCCCCAAATGCCCTGGAGTCCCCCTGAACGGTCCCATATACCCGCCCTTTCCGAGAGTTGTAATGCCCGGTCTGTGGCTTTGTAGAAATCAACATCTGTAGCCATCAAGGCAGCTGTAAGGGCTCCAGCGGAGGCTCCTGAAGCTGTCACTTTAGAGAGGTCGTAACCCTGTTCCCTCATATACGTGACAGCTCCAGCCTGCCAATAAAAGAAAAGCCCGCCACCTGGGAAAATGAGATGAGGAGCTCGGTTGGTGATTGTTGACTTTTGACCACCGGGCTCTTCGTCATTCAGGACGTTCCTGGATGAATCAACAATGTCATCGACCACTGAGTGTAACGCCGTTTCTTTGGTACAATGGTCTGTGTTGGTGACGAAAAAAGCATTCGATACATGAAGAATCGTCAAGAATAGGAGTAAAGGAATGCGACGCATTTCTTGTTGCATTTGGACGTCGTACGGTTGTTTGGAATAGCAAGAGGTCGAACGCAGCAAAAAAGAGGACCAAGGAAAGAGCTTAATGTCACCACTCTATCTAGCTAGCTTTTTGGGCCAAGTGATGCCTTTGTCATCTCTCTTCTGCTTCTACGGTACTAGTAGTTGGTTGCCAGCATGTGACACTTCCGAGGGAGAGAAAAAAAAAACATGATGTTCTGACGTGTTGACAATCCACGACTCAATTACAGCAACAAGAAGGTCAACGGCTCAAAGCCCTTTGTTAAATCTATTCCAATTTCCAATCTATTGAATAAACCACAGTGCCCTTTGTAAGCTCAAAGTTTTTAATTGAGTGGTGCCCTCTATACTTAGGTTCCAGACAGTGCTTAGTCGCGGATACTGGTACTCTATAATAGTACGTCGTACCACTTTGAAAGGAAGCACCCCGAAGCTTCTCCGCTGCTTCTCCGAAGCCAACAAGCGGGTCAGTTGAATTTGGTGCCATAATTTGGTGCCGGTGCAGTTCTCCTGCACCGTCCTCACACCGCACTGCACCAAAATTAGGGGCACTTCAACTAGCGTAACTAGAGTAACTGACGTAACTAGCGTAACTAGCGTAGGGTAACTGACGTAACTGGCGTGCAACTGATGTAACTGACGTAGAACATTGGAGGACGACTAACGTGGTCGTCATTTCAACTAGCTTTGTATTGTAAACAACTCTATAGAGACAACAGAGCAACGGCAACACTGTTTACAATGAGTTACATTTAGTTTTTAAGCTTTTGCAGCACTTAAATCACTGCAGTGGCACCTGCCTCTTTTCCAACAGCTGAGCTCTGTGAGATTCATCCAAGTCAGTCAAACAAGATGATGATCCAAGTCAGTCAAACAAGATGGTATTGCTTCTTTGAATCAAGCTCTAGAGCAATACAATTAATTTGGTGTTAGTAGAATTTTAATGATTACTCTGTAGTAGATAAAACCTACTTGTAACTCAGTCATTGATAGCTAGCTAGCTAGTAGCTATAGATCAACAGCAGCAGCAGCACCAGCATCAGCAGCACCAGCATGTCGTATTGGTACATGAGTCCTCAGTCAACATGCCATGGAGACTCTTAATAACAAGGCTTTTAAATTTTTACTTTTAACATGTTTACCTAAAAGTAAAATTTCATTTTTGTACAGGCTGGTTTCTCTGCGTCCTCCCACAAAAGACGCACTTGGTACATTTGTGTTAAGTCTTTGAGTCTCTCACTGGTTAAATAATTGGCTACTCATTAAATACTTAAGAACACTAGGTTCTTCTAAGGACTTAACAACTTCAACTGACGTGGAAGGTGCCATTCTCCTTTAGGAGCACTGCACCAAGGAAATGGCACCAAATTCACGCGACTCCAACAAGCCAACAGGCAACAGGCGAGAGTAAGAATCAAGAATCAAGCCAAGGTTCAGAAAGATATGATCTCCACCTCTCCATAAAACGCCGCATTGGTTGTTCGAACCAAGCCCAAGTCCTTCCGGTCAATCAACACCCCACCTTCACTAGCCACACCAACTACTACAAGATGGGATCTTCTGCCAGCAAGCAAGCCAATGGCCCAACTTTCAAAGAGAAAATCAAGGCATCCGTGGAGGAAGAAATCAGTCGAAAAATGATGCAGCAACGAGAAATCAATATGGCCTTGAACATTGCCAGGGCTCGCGACATGCTTCAGATCTACGGTAGCATTTATGCGACAGGAGTCACTGGACTTCTCACTGCAAGAATTGCGGGTAGACCTGTGCCCCACCTGGCCGCCATTCCAGTGTTGGGAGGAGGGATCGTGTTGGGCAACATGTTTGACATGGCCTATGGAAACAAAATGGCTCGAGTCTGCAGGGAAGCAGAGTACATCCTCGAAAATGAAAAACCCCGTAAGTAAAGAAACAGCCGAAAGAAAATACCATGTAATGAAAAAAGGGCGCCTTCGGTATCAAAACTCTAACATGGCGCTTTTTTGGTCAAACTCCAGGTTTTGTTCCTTTCAAGCAGGTGAGTTGAAAAGATGATGATTGAAGTGCTTGTTTTCTTTCCTTTCTTTTACATTCTGACATTCAACTGTAATAATTCCCCTTCCTATCAATCTACAGGCTCCATTTGCAAGATTCTACTCGGATGACGACAAATCCGTGTTCTTTGATCAAGCAACACCTGTGGGTGATCTATTCCCGAGTAACCTCTATTCGCGTGAATATGCACCGGGTACCCAGCCAGCAGAAAAGAAGTAAGAGAATGTTGCTGGCCCGTCCAAGAGGTTCAAATGGAATTGAAGCCAAAATGACAATTCAGTGCACAGAAGTGTTTTAAAATGGTCCATACGTAATTAGTCATTCGATTCACTAACTACCGTACATGTACTCTCAAAAGTACTCGACAGAATCAAACTCCTCTTCGTCAAATTCATCACTCGACAAGAGACCTTGTTGCTGTTGCTGCTCCGCCACAGCTCTCAAAATTGCGGCTTGCATTGGGTTCAACACTGTTCCCATGTCTTCCTTTCCATCCAATACTCCCACATGGACAGCACAGCCCAATGCCACTGCTTCGTCGGGGTTGACTGTCTTTTGAGGGACTACACCCGTCAGTGCTGCAAGAAGTCGTCCAATGGCGGGCATGCGAGTGGCTCCGCCCACTAAAACCACGCGAGAAATGGGTCGACCAGAGATTCCATCCCGCACTTTGGTATCCGTGACATCTGCAGCAGGTGTTTCTTCCGCAAGCTTGCGCTTTTCTTGGCGGAACTTGCGCTCTCGCTTGGTGACATCACGGGCTTTCTTTCGTCCTCGTTGCTGGGCCCTTTTCTGAGCCTTCACGCTCGTCTCGTCCAGCCCATCTTGGAGCTGCAATAGAATCGTCTCGTCTATATCACTGTCGTCAGAGGTTGGGTCCTCCTTCTTGTCTAGGCTTTCCTCGTCATAAAAGTCTTCAAACATCAAGGAAGACGAGAATTCCTCTTCCATTTGCATGGCTGCTTCCACTATGGTGGGACTGGTATCACCGGGTAGCAAGGCTCCTGCCATGATGGCCACTTCTCGAATGGGCCGGAGTAGCGCCAAGAACTGCTCCTGGCACATTCTCTCCATATCTCGTCGTGTCAATTCGCAAAGGACATGTGTCGTGTTGGATACACCTTCTGCAGTGACGGGTTTGTCATCGTCGTCGTCAAGCTGGAAGTCCAAAGGTTTTATAATGTCCGAGGCATGGGGCATATGACTCCACGCGTCTTCTTGTAGTGGCAATGCCATTCTGACTCGCTTGTTGTTGCTGAGGTATATTCTGACCATTTCAGCCGACCGAACAATGGCATCCGTGGCCGAGCAAGGATCTGTAGATCTACCTTTCCGATTGCTACTCGACAGTGTCAATCCATGAATAGCGAGAACTTGACGCATGTGTTGCGCCACTTTCGCATCAAAATCGGATCCACCGAGTTGGCTGTCGCCAGATGTGGTGATGATTTCGGTGAGCCCTCCACCGACCAGCAGCATACTAACATCATAGGTGCCCCCTCCCAAGTCAAACACCAAAACCAGTTCGTCGTCGTCGTCGTCGTCATCATCATTATTTAACTTTTCAACAGTCCGAGTCAATTGTTGTTGTCTCCCAACACCATACGCCAGTGCAGCTGCTTCCGGTTCTCTGAGTAGTTTGACCTTATCGATTCCTGCCAAGTTTGCAGCTTGAATAGTGGCATCCCTTTGTTCATCATGAAAGTAAGCAGGCACTCCAATGACAGCTCTGGTCACCTTTTGTTGCGCATGTTCTTCTGCCGTTTCAATGAGCTTTCTCAGAATGTGTGCCGATATTTCGGCTGGCAGGATACTGGATTGTTGATCCACGGATGACAGCAACATGGCAGGATTTTCTTGGGCGTCCTTTATCTGATTGGAAAGACTGTCAACTTTTTTCTTTTTCTTGTGTTTCTTCTTTTTGTTTTTCTTGGCAGTATTATTATCCTCCCTGTTTTGTTGGTTTGCAAATAGAAAAGGTACCACTTCTAGCGATTCCTGGGCCGCATGAGCCCCTCTCCCCAATATTCGTTTGACATTTCGGTAGGATCCTTGTTCGGCTTCCAAGGCAATGGCTTGTCGTCCCACCAGTACAGCTTGTTCTGATTGTGTCACCACAGAGGGCATGGTTCTCCCATTATCTGGAATGGGCACAATTGTGGGTAGCCCCGAGTGAGTATCCAAAATGGCAATGGCCGAGTGCGTGGTTCCCAGGTCAATCCCCACTCCAATGCCCTCATCGTTTTCACTGCTTGCCAGACGCGTGATACCGGTACTAGAAGCAGGTCTCCGTAGTCTTCTGCGGGTACTAGTATAAGAAGAGGGTATCACATAATACTGAAAGCCAGCTATCAGGTGGACTGACAGGCATACATGTAGTGCAAGGCAGCCGTGGATACTAATGGTTGTCCTCATCATCTTTCGGTACGGTAGCTTCCTCTGATAAAGATCTTTAGCCAAAAGTCCATCACCATTGTCAACAGAAAAGATACAGTAGACGAGATCTGGATGGCGAGTCCCAAGCACGTTCATTCGATTTTGGCACGTTCATGATGAGTCACGAGCAACTCTATGCATGGGATTCAATTGACGCCACTAAACCGGTGCTGTCTCTGACGTTGTTTTCTTTTTCGCCTTCTTGGGGTTTCCCAAGGACCTCTTGTGGTCTATGCATCTGCATACATGGGATGGCATTGTTTTGTTGGCAGATCGGAGTGATTGAATGGTCAATCGTACTAGCTAGTATTGTGATAACAGAACATCAACGCTCCTTCTTTTCCTCTCTTTGATTCCACAAATAAAAGTAGGAAGAACTGTTTGGTTTCTCATTTGATGGATGTTCTGACAACCCTGCATCATTACATCCCGATTGAGTTTCTACCGCATTCATTAGTTGAACAGCTGAAACGTCTCATTATCAAGATACAGGATCCAATCCAAGAATCCTACCCCCTGCAGCACAGTAACTACCATACCCAGATACTATACCATGGCATCTAACAACAACAACAACAATCTCCATGACCCAATCACGGAAGCAGCTGTGGTGACTGTCTCGTCATCCCCAGCTGACAGCGAAGCGTCGTCTGAAGCAACGATGACTTGCCAGTTGGCGAGTGGACAGGTTTGCATTTGTCACTCCTGTGAAGATGTCAGGGCTCGTCTGCTATCGGAAACAGCCAACAAGAGAAAGGCACCGCCGGCTGCCACGATTATCACTACTACAGGCAACGGAGAGGAAGCTGATGATAATGAGGATGCCAACAAGAAGAAAAAGTCAAATACACTACAACCAGATAATCCAGAACTTGTCCATCAAAAAATGACGGCGGCTTGTCAGACCATACTAGAATGCATTGGAGAAGATCCCAATCGAGAGGGTCTACTCAAAACACCCGATAGATGGGCCAAAGCACTCAAATTCATGACCAAAGGATATCAGCAAGATGCAAAAAAAATCCTCAATGGAGCCATCTTTGAAGAAAATCACGACGAAATGGTCGTCGTCCGAGACATTGATATTCATTCACTCTGCGAACATCACATGGTCCCATTCACGGGACGTGTACACATTGGATACATTCCCCAGGGAAAAATTCTAGGATTGTCCAAACTGGCACGCATTGCCGAAATGTTCTCCCGCAGACTGCAAGTACAGGAACGACTCACGCGACAAATTGCCGATGCCATTGTCGAAGCGGTACAACCAAGAGGCGTCGCCGTCGTCGTCGAATGCACACACTTTTGCATGGTCATGCGAGGAGTACAAAAGGTTGGATCCAGCACCGTCACTAGCTCGGTACGAGGGATCTTTCGTGATGACCCAAGGACTAGAGCCGAGTTTTTTAGTATCGTTGGCCATGGAAAATAAATAAATAGATTGGTCGTCGAAAATGAGGAGCATGCTGCACCTTTTGGAGGTCGTCGATCTTGCCTTATTTTATACAGACTAAAGGAACTACCTACTAGATACTTTCATCTCTACTTGGTCTATACTTCTCTGCATACTCAGAGAACCAGGTCAACTTGAAGTCTACTGGTAGCAAGAACCCTTGTGAGTTAGCATCAATTCTGTGACTGTTGTACCCAATTTTGTGGAGGATACCCAGAGTACACTTATTCGTGGATGATGCTGTTGTCAATACATCATGTAGCTTGTTCCTACTACTAGCTGTCCAACTCAACATTTAGTTCCCATTATGCTGTCATTCACAACCTCCACAACTAACTTGACCGAGAGATGGATGTGGTCCTGTACGTAGTTCCTGGGGAGGTGGCACACGCGGAAACACCTTTTCCGCTCTACTGGCTAACTTTGGTTGAACGTTCCCAACGGCGACACGCACCGGAGGCCACCCCGCACTCGACCCAAAAGGAGGACACAGATGAAGGACAACTACTAGACTAACGCCATTGCATTTGAGAGAAGTACATGTACAGGCTTGGCATACAGCGGCGCTAGCTACCGGTCTACTTGTACATCAACAGAGGGTCAGTCATTTTTCCGTACAAGTACACTCGTAGTACACTCCTGAGGGAAGAAGGACAACAACTGTATTAATAATGCCAACGGTCAGGTTACGACGAGGGGTCCCAGTTCGCTCCAAAATCACAGTGGAAGAACCAACGAGAGTGTCATGGTGCACTTTGCTGGGGTTCGAGGGAACGAGTGAGGACCTTGGGGATGACGAGCTTGGAGAAGAACTGTCCGATGAGGCTTGGGGAGTCACCCAGGAGGAGGAGGCAGCATTCGAGCCTGATGGCACGTATGTTCGTCTGCCTTCTGGGAGAATAGATCTACTGAAACTGGAACCTGCTTGTCCACCCACGATACCGAGGAAAAGTAAAAAAACCAAGTCACACAAGAAACCCACTGCTTCGAAAAAATGGAGCCATCAGAAAAAAGTAAAAACACCTCTGTATCTTCAACCAGTGCCTCCCAACCATGCCATACCAATGCCCATTCCACACAGAGGCTATTACAACAATTTCCAAAGAATTCCTCCTGCTTCTGCTCCTCCTTACGTGGGATATGCTGGACCTCCCGGATTTTTCGGGAATCAGCGGAATCAGCCGCATCTTCCACCACCACCACCTGCAATGAAATGCAACCTGCAACGACAACAACAACAAATGCCGGGTGTACCAATGGGACCATATTATTACAATCAACAGCAACAACAACCTTCGTGGGGAGCTGGAGCTGGAGGTCATTACCGTCAACAACAACCAGGGCATTCTCAACATCCACCCCCTGCCATGCCTTACAATCTAAAGCAAGAACAACCTGTAGGTCAACCTTGGTACCACAATGGACAAATGAATTACAGTCATCATGAACCAGGTCCTCCCCAAGAACAGCAACAACTACAACCTTCGTGGGGAGCCTATTATTCCAATCAGCAACAACAACCTTCTTATGGAGCCGGAGCTGGAGTTCATTACCATCAACAACAACCTTCTGCTTCAGTAGGTCCTGGATTCTACAATGGACAATTGAATTACAATCAACATCCACCCCCTGTCATGAATTACAATCAAGAGCAAGAACAGCCTGCTCAGGGAGTTGGTCAACCTTGTTACCACCATGGACAAATGAATTACAATGACCAAAGGACAGGCCCTTCCCAAGAACCGCCGCAACTGCAACAACAGCAAATGGGAATGTATGGCAATCATCAGCAACAACAACCTTCATGTGGAGCAGAAGCCGGAGTTCATTACTGTCAGCAACAGCCTTCTCCTTCAATGGGTCATGGATACTACAATGGACAAATGAGTTACAATCAACAACAACCAGGGCATTTTCAACATCCAGTCCCTGCCACGAATTACAATCTAAAGCAAGAACAACCTGCAGTGGGAGCAGGTCAACCTTGGTACCACAATGGACAAATGAAGTACAATGATCAAAGGACAGGCCCTTCCCAAGAACCGCCGCAACTGCAACAACAGCAAATGGGAATGTATGGCAATCAGCAGCAACAACAACCTACATTGGAAGTTGGTCAAACGTTTCCCAGTGGAGAAATGCATGACAATCAACAACAACAACCAGGCTATTCTTTACATCCACCACCTGTGATGTATTGCAACCCACAAAAACAACCAACACCAGGAGTTGGTCCTGGGTTCTCTATTGCACAAGTGAATTTGACTCAACAACAACCATCTCCTTTCCAACAACAACAACAGCAGCAGCAGCAGCAACAAGCAGGAATGTATGGTGATCAAGGGCAACAACAGCCTGCTTTATTAGTAGGTCCTGGCTTTGCTGGTGTACAAACCGAGGATGGCACCATGACAACACCTAGAAATGTGCAACCAGGAACTGTGCTTGTAGGAAAGAGCAATGATGTTTATGTGCTTAACAATGCTGGCGATGGTGGCAAACCTGAGTTCAGGCCTGTCCACTCAATTTGTGGAAAGAAAGGATTTGCCAGTCTCCTGGAGGTCAAATTCATGTTGGAGTTCTACTACAAAGGAAGCACCATTATTGGGCCAATGAACCACAGCAGTCAAGAGGGACAGTTGTATTGTGTGGTGGCAGGTGCAAACCGAACAGACTTCCACTGTGTTCGGCGTCATGGAAGATACTGGTTGGAAGAATTGAGAGAAGAAAAAGAAGTCACCCGCATAGATTCCACACAAGGCAACATGGAGCTTCATCACGCGGCAACACCAACTTATGCCGAACCAGACTCGCTTCCAGCCACCACACAACAGCCAAGAACCACTGCAACCCAAATGCGTTGTCAAGAATCATCACTGTGTACCCCCATAGCTCAGGAACGCGCATTCCCAACTACTGCAGAACAGCCCTGCCCTCCACAAACTGCATCGGCTGCCATTGCTCCTCAGGCCTCTTTTCAGCTGTTTGAACCCAGTTCACCCAAAACGCAAGCAACACTATGTCAAACGTCGATTGAAACTTTGGCGTCTCCTCAGCCTGCCCGACAGGATTGCAGGTCTCAAGAAGCCCCTGCGGCACAAATCACAGCAACCGCAGATACTTCACATGAGATGGAATCGGAATCTGAGCCCGCAACAGCCATCGTGGCCCCGGAAAACAAGGATCGCACTCCTGAAGAACCTGATATTGTGCCTCGAGAGGGCCCCTCGCTCACTTTAGGTGGGTACGTCTCACCCACACATCCAGAGCAGTGTGCATCCCAAGGTGCAGACGAAAGAGGTCATGTCTTCCACGGTGAAGGGCAAGCTGGACCTGATGCTGTGGCGAGTGCGATAGTCACTCCCAATTCTTTTCCACCCTCATTAACAGGCCAAGGGGATTTAAGCCTTAATGTGCCTCTTCCAGAAGTGGTCAACAGGAATAACGTACTTTCCCCCAATAGCCACACAGCTGGTCTACCAACATCTGAACTAGTTGGTGAGAATCCTCTCATGCCAATCCCAACAACTCCGCCGCGACAACAACAATGGGATTTTAGAGGTTTGAACGAAGCAGAAACCAACCAACTAGAGGTAGCAAATCCAATTCTCTTCAGACCTGTGCACAACGTCAACGCAAGAGGCGGATATGGCACTCCTTGGAGAGCGAAGAAAGCCTTGTTGAAATACAAGTGCGGAGCTTCACCAGGCAATCAGCCGTTCGAACCCGGTGCAGAGAGTATCCAATCTTCGGAGTACTTTGTCCTCTACGATAAATCATTGGCAGAGGAAGCTTCCAACTTGGCAGAGGAAGCTTCCAACTTGGCGGAGCAAGCCACGATATATAGGACGGTGCAACAGAACGGAAGGTATTGGCTGGAACAAGTGTGCTTCGAAGACAGACAAACAAGAGATTGTTATCGTGAAAGTATCTAGAAGTAACCTTTTACCTATTCCATGTTCTTCATCAATCCCCCGGGCCACTTGTACCAAGAAGAGATGTACCGGAACGCACAGCGAGAAACCGGAACCGTTCCTGTTCATTCTTGATACTCCATGTGGAAGTCGAATTGCAATTCATGATCAGAGAATTTAACACAGGCATTCTGACAAATCATTGCTAGACGGGCTGTGGATGCAGGTGGATTGCAAGAAACGTGAGGAGTCAAGTCTGGGGACACCATGAACTCAAAACATCTGGCACATACCCGGAGCACACAGAAAGACCGCTACTCGTTTCAGTCCCATCGCAATCGCTTCGTTTCTCATATCAGCAACGATCTTTGGGATATCAGGGCGCCCAGTGCGAAGGAATGGCAGGTTGGCTAATTCTGGGGGCAGATCATCTTCACTGTTGGTTCGAGAACTAAGGTACACTTGAAGTTCCAAGATTTCCAGCACTGATGGGCTTTGAAAAGCTGCGCGAAACGTGCTGTCATCTCCAGCTCCCACAGAAGGGGCACTGACGGGCGGGCATGGCTTTGCAGTTGCAGATACTTTAACCCGGTCCAATCGCGATCTAGTCGGCGGTTGTTGATTCGAGGAGTATTCTTTTTCCAATTGTGCATCCGATTGGACACTTGGTGGAAAGTGGGTGAGAAGGGCTGAAGCCATCGATGTTGCGTAGCTGTCAACGTCCCAGTAGATGCTGCCAGATGCGAGGCTTCGCAGGTCATGATTTTCCACATCTGCTGCAGACGAGGGGTGAATGGGTCTAATATTGCGGCGAACGACATCTACATCATTCACGAGAACTGGGTCTCTGTCGGTCCACACCACACGGATCTTCTTCAAGTTACGAAGCCCCTTGCTGTGCTCGTAGATGAGTTGGTTGCATAGAGACTGAAGGAGAGCTGAGAATGAGGGAACCTTCCCGTCGGCTTCTCGGCAAGGGATGTTTCCTGACTTACCTGGACCGGCGTCACCCCTATACCTCCTGACACCAGCAGGATGGACTGGTACCTGTTTGTATCCGAGAGAATGTCTACATTGGGACTTCCGTTGGGACCCTCTACAAGTACGGATACCTCCGGCTGTTCTTTCGCCAAAGCATGCAGAGCACTGGTCCATGAGCCAGCTTTTCGGATGAGAACTGAAACATACTTCATGCGAGGAGCGGTGGCGATTGAGAATGGATGAAATGTCAAGTCAATTTGGGGTACAGCAACCGAGATGTGTTGGCCGGCATTGTAGTCAAAGCCTTCGCACTTGGGAAGTTTCAGTTCTACCACAGTGTCACTGATCACACGTAGCCTTGCTTTTCGGGGGTATCGGCAACAAGCCATGACAACTTTGCGGCATATCAAGTCACCGATCCACAAGAAAGACAAGATTGGCATGAGGATTCCAGAGTGGTAAAAGGCGCATGCCGTCATCATGGCAACGAAGCCAACATGGATGTAGTAGAAGACTTCGAAACACCACCGTCGCACAGGAGGGAGGGACGTTACCGTAACACCAGCAACAAGCAGCATGAGACCCGTTCCAGAAGCATTCATTTGATCCAATACAAGAAACTGGAAGAAGGCCGTGGGGAGCTTATCAGCCAGGGCGCCGTACGTATGAAGGATCCCATTAACAAAAGCAAGTCGTCCCGACAGCTTGTGGTACCACAATGCCCTCTCAAAGGGCAGGCCAATCAGCAAGGTGAGGAATGAGTTTCTCATTGCTGTGATGAGAGCAAAGATGAGAGCAAGCCTGGCAGAATGGCCCGATAGCTCCACGCTTGGATAGATGAACGTGGTGACAATCCCTCCCACAACAGTCAATAAAACTGGAAGCACGAGAATGAGTTCTCCGACTGTGAGGTGGATGTTGTACTTTCGAAGGAACTGGCTGAAGACAACGCGACGCTGCAGAGGATATGAGCAATGCCATCGAAACTTGTACAGCGATTTGACGCCTTCCAAAGCGCTCGGATATGGCTTGAGAAGCCAGTACAAAGGCGGAAATTCGAGCAAGGGGTGAGGCAGGTTGGGTGCAAGAGGTTGCCTTCCCTTGCGACCATGAGCGTTATCCCTGCTTCCACCCACCGGGCGAGAGACATTGCCCAAAGTGCTGATACTGGCAACATCCGAGGGACGAAGATAGCCTTTGCTGATAACACCAGTTGAATTCACTTCAATACCTTCATTAGTTCCAAAGTCAGCAAGATTGGACCTTTGGTTGGATTCTTTTGCCTCCTCTTGATGATCGAAGAAGAGTTCCCCCGAGAAATGCTTGCTGAAGTCCTCCATAATCATGGACAACGACCCCATGATGCCACCGCCGCCACCAAGAGCTGTCGCATTGCCGTCCCTTGCAGTGTGCTTTTGCAGAGTTTCGGTGTTGCTCAGAGTTTGTTGGCGACGTACCGCAGCATTGGTCCCTTGGAGGGCCTTTTGATCGGCCTTTGAATTGTTGATCATTTCTCACCGACGGAAAGTTAGAAAGACAGAAAAGTAAGACCGAGTAATCGAGCTTTTGCAATACTCTTGGCTCGACAATTTGTGACCCAACACATTCAGAGTTGAGTGGATGGTACTGCTTCGAGTCATGTTCGATGCTGGGACAAGAAGCCACGAGCAAAGTTGTCCTGAAGATAACTACGTAGCTCGCGGGCAGTTGCTCTGTGTGGTCCACTCGTAGCATCACTAACTCCTACCGGTACCCAAGCTAGCTAGATAGCTAGATCCACATTCCAAGTTGTTCTGTCAGCATCGTGCTCATTTTTTCGCAAGATTGCTTCTCGAGGGAAAGGTCTTCAGTGGTTTTTCCTCCTTGAGTATCTTTTGAGATCACTCTGACGAAACATATTCATATGCCCTCTGGGTCGTCTCCGTTTCCAGTACTAGTTTTACTTGTCTACTAATACAGGATAATGGTGAATAGAATCGAATGAATCATGTGGCTTATATTTAGGGTTTAGGTTTTGCAATTTTGAAGTCAACGTGGTTTATGTGAGGTTGTAAAAGTTTTGTGTGATAGTATGTGTTAAGTGGAGGGTTGGCTCGCTTCCGCTGGGAGCTTGGTGTCTTCTTTTTCCTCTGTTCCCGCTCTTCGTCGGACTGGGTATTCGGTAATAGGATCGTGAGCAGTTCGGCAGCTTTCTTCTACCATGTGGAGTGTCATATTCTGACTATTCGCAGGGACACTTTGGCCGACGTGGTTCGTGGAACAGGTGAACGGGAGATGACTATTTGGTTGCATTGGAACTGGGAATGGTTTGCGAATAATATTGGGAGTCCAGTATTGAGGATTTGAAAGTGAGGGGACGGGGGATTTATACGGGAACTACTGTAGGAGACTTACCACCGTTCTCCTGCTGGTGCTTTTCGAGAAGAGTTCCCAAGAAGGCCTCAAAGTTCATGCCGGGGGGTAGTGCAAAACCATGGGAAGGGCCAGTGTGGCAGCTTGAAGGCGAACTTGTGGAGTAGAGGTGGGGGGGGGGATGGTGTGCGTGCGTAGTGGCTTGTAATAATGTTGCGACGGGCACCGTGATGGCCCGCATGCGAACGAAGTCCGATGCATCCAAGGTTGTTTCGGTGAAACCAACGGAAGTAAGACGTAAGCCGGGAGTTGACCACAGGCCAAATAGAGTACACATGCCCTTGTCTCCTTGAGGAATTCGGATACAGTGCGGTATTCGCCTTTATCGATCCAAGAATCCGTCACAAGGTGAGTCATGATGTCGGAGTGGTGATCAGCTCACTCCAGGTGTCATGGACCTTGTACACTTGTCCTGTTCGTCGAGAACTAGGAAGGGTTCATCCTTCTTTGCCGGGTCTACACGTATTGCATGTAGGCCGGTTTAAAGGTTTCATTGAACCACTTCAAGGCCATTTCTGGGGTGGGATCTGGGGCAACAAAAGTTCACCAGTTTGTCCGTCAACTTCACCTCTGGGGCAAATGATAACAAAGCCACTTTGGTCATAAGAGTACACGTTGGTGGCCTCGTACAAAAGGAGCTTTTCCCCATCAACAGAAGCGGGGTCCACCAATTGAATACCCACTCGATCATGTGCTTGTCAGCGAGGGCTTGAACAAAGGCCATATGTCTTTGGGTTTAACGCGTTGACGGAGTGGTCTTGCGTCGGTTGTACATACAACCGGTAGCTTTCTTTTCGAGCGCATGGAACTTGAGACGTTGAGTTTTGTAAATCATTTGTGGTCCGTGGGTGTATAGAGGGGTTCTTTCCAATCCTGGGTTTTCTGGTGCGTGGATTGGGTGGTAGCATAAGTTAACTGATTCCTGCCGCTGGATCTGTACCCTAAAGATGGTATTTTTGTTGAATGAAGGTGGGATTATCGATGTGGCTGCAGTTATTTGAGGTCGGTGCGGATACAATACGACGGTCACTGTGGTTCGT